TCCTTCCACTCCTTCCTTCCCTCCTCCCACCCCAAAACGTCATTTTCAGGGATATCCCTTATTTTTTGGAGTAGGGAAGCCAATTCTTTGGAGATCATATCCCAGACCAGGCAGAGCAGGAGATGTGGTGGCCCAAGCCTTTGTGCTGGCTCAGAGCTGTGCTTTGTCCCCAGGGTGCCCCCAGGGGATGCTCAGAGAGCCCCGTGTCACCTCCCCTCCTGTCACCCTCGTAGTGCAGAAGATCAACCCCTGTGTGATGGAGCTCTGCAGGTTCTTTCAGCTGTGCCTCTGTGTTGGTCACAGAAGATATTCCAGAAAGGAAGCCATGAGGTAAAATCTGGCACTATTTTTTCTTTCTCTGTCTGTATAAAATACTCCTTCAGGCTTTCTGTTACCAAATGACAATTTTCAATCACCAGTGATTATTTTGGAGGGTCTGTGGCCACTGGATGAGACCTAAACGTGTCCCAGTGCACCAATCAGTACCTGATTTGGCTTCAGTATTCCAGCTAAGTGAAAAAAGCCCAGCTGCATCTTTCCAAACATCTAATGACATTACTGAGGTTGGAATCTAGCTTTTTGTTTCCATATTTAGTAGTAGCAGCATGATGTACTGTGCTTATCATGGAATCATAGATTGGTTTGAGTTGGAAGGGATCTAAAGACCATTTATTCCAACTCTGCTGCCATGGGCAGGGACACATTCTACTGGACCAGGCTGCCCAAACCCTAATCCAACCTGACCTTGAACACTTCCAGGGATGGGGCATCCACATCTTGTCTGGGCAACCTGTGCCACTGTCTCACCACCCTCTCAGTAAAGAATTTCTGCCTAATATTTAATCTGAACCTGCCCTTTTTCGGCCTGAAGCCATTACTCCTCATCTTATCACTCCATGCCCTTGTCCAAAGTCCCTCTACTTATGAAAGATAACAAGCCTCTTAGCTTTAACTGCATCTCCTATCTGTTACTCCATCTTCAGATACTGTGTTGAATACTATTCCTGGTTCGTGAAAAATGCAAGTTATGTCTGCGAAAGAGTCCAAAGAGTTGCTTACTCCCACAGTAAGTACATTTTCACTTTTTATCTCTACATCTCTACATACCTTGTTATGAAGATATGAAAAAGATTTTTGCATATCCACAGAATATTTGCTGCTTTTCATCAGATAGCTATTTTATCTGATAATGATTTTTAAAGGCTTAAACAAATTATTTTACCTTCATGCATGTTTTAACATTTTCTTGTAAAACCTCTTCTAACTAATATTTTCTTGTGTTCTTCCAGCATTAAAGCAAAAATGCCTTAAAAACATCTGTACATCAGTTTAGAGCACTGAGAAATTTTACTGCAAGTTGGAAGACTGGTGGCAGTTTTAGTTTTCTTTTTGATTTCTCAGTGTAAAAATCAGAAAGCAACATGTTATTTGTAAATATTTGAAATCAGACAAGCTATTAACCAGATGTTAAACTAGAAATGTCTTCTCCTCCAAGTCATTGTAAAAAATAATGTCTAAAAAACAGAGATTTTTATACAAGTGATGTAACTGCAATAAAAACATTGAAAGTCTTTAAAAAATTTTCTTTTGTAAAGGATATTTACATGGCTGGCTAATGAATGCAAATAGTTTCTATTTATTTTATTGATATTTGACACATAGTAATCAAAATTAATGAATGCAAAGTAATTTAAAAGCAACCTGAAATACTGAAGAGAAGCAGGACTCTCTGGTGTTAAACACATGCAGATTATCTTCAAAATCAAAAACTTCCATTACTTTAGCAATTCCTGTTGTGCAGTGTCAACCCAAGAAGTGACAGAATTTTTTGTACTCGAGATGTATTTGTGTGAGTTCACCAGGATTCACAGAAACGTGGAATTATAGAATGGGTTGGGTTGGAAGGGACCTTAAAGTTTTTCTACTTTCAACCTCACCAGATCAAGTTGCTCAGGGCCCTTCCAACCCAGCTTTCATTTCCTTGGTAGTCTGCAAATGACAGTCTGGTGAACTAAAAACCAGTCCTAAAAAAATGAAAGAATCATCAAATCAATTACATGATCCCATAGTTCTCTATGCTGCAGCAACATTATGCTACCATCTACCCAGAGTATGTCATCAAGCCATTAATACTGTTTTTAAATAAGAAGTTTATTTGCACTATAACTGCTGCACATTGATGTTTCACTGAAGAGAGATGTTCAAAGGCAAAGCCAAGGAGGAAAGTGGCAATATGAGCAATGCTGACCCCTGGGAGAGGTGGGATGCAGTGCTTCTCTTCTCAAAATACATTTTGCTGTTGTGCTCAGTAGTGTGAGAGAAGAACTTCTGTCATGTCAAAGAGCGGGATAGATTGGACTGGTACCAATTCAGCAGATATTGAAAGTTAAGCCAATGGAATAAATAGGAATGTTAATACAGTGAGCATGTGCTGGGAATAAGACATGCTGCTACCCAGAAGGACCTCAACAGGCTGAAGAAATGGGCCAACAAGAACGTCACAAAGTTCAAGAAGTGCCATAACATGTCACTGCCATGCTGTGGGAGGTCTCACCTTGCTGCAGCAGCCTCAGTCTGTGCCCATTGTCTCTTGCTTTGTCACTGGACACTGCTGGACAGAGACTGGCTCTGTCCCATTGCACCCTGCCCTCGGGTGTTTACTGGATTGATGAGATCTCCCCAAGGCTCCTTTAGGGAACAGTCCCACCTTTCTTGTCCTCTGAAACAGGAGTCTCCTCCAGCTACATCTCATAAGCTCTTGGAGGTCTATTTCACACCTAAAATAGCTTAGCTACCTTAGAAGGCATAAAATCAGCAGGATAGCTTCTGTTGCAGAGTTGGAAACAAAAGAGTTTTAATAAAAGACAAAATAACACATTCTTTACAGAGAAAAACCAATTTAGGCGCAAGAGGCCCTCCTGCCCTTGGTGAAACACCTCACAAAAGCGATTAGTTTCTTTGTTCTCTTCTTTTTCTAGTAAATGGCCTAGGCAAGACTTTTTGGCTCCTGTCCAATTAGCTATCCTTGTTTGAGGTGAAGTCCCCTGGGTCCTATGAGATGCCTTTTTCACCTAATCAAAGAGAAAAACTTCTGGGCTTCTTTCCTTTTTAAAGGGACAAAGGATAGTTTTGTCTCCATCAGCAAGAAGCACATTCCTACAGTCCTCTCCTCACGAGAGATGTTCTGGTCCCTTCATCATCTCTGTGCCCCTTCTCTGAACTGTCCCCAGTTTTTCCATGTCTATGCTGTACTGGGAAGTCCAGAACTGGACACAGCCCTGCAGGTGTTGTCACAGACATCTTTTGTGAAAAATCCTTTCTTTAGGATTTTTCCCTCTTCTGGGAGGCTGAGGCCCCAGAAAGAGAATGTGAACAATGGTTATCTGCTGCTGTGGAATGCAACACATGCACCTGTGATTGGCCCATGTTCCATGTTTACAATTAAGGGCCAATCAGAAGACAAGCTCTCTCTGGGATGGAATCAGGGAGAGCTCCTTTGTTGATTCATTCCTTTTCTATTCTTAGCTTAGCAGCATCTGAACTTCTCTCTCTATTCCTATTAGCATAGTCATAATGTAACATATATCATAAAATTAATAAATCCAGCCTTCTGATCATGGAGTCAAGATTCTCGTCTATCTCTTCACCCCTGAGGAGCCCTTGCAAGCCCGGTAACAGGTGTGGCCTCAGCAGTGGAAAGCAGAGGGGCAGGACCCCTCCTTCAACCTGCAGGCAGCACTGTGCCCAGTGCAGGACATGCTGAGCCCTCTGCTGCAGGGGCATACCTCCCACTCCTGTTCAACCCCCAGTCCAGCAGGACCCCAGATCCTTTTCTAGCAAGCTGCTTCCCAGATAGGTGGCCACCAGCACATCTTGGTGTGTGAGGCTGCACCTCTCCAGATGCAAGACTTGGCTCTTCCTGTTGAACTTCATGGAGTTCCTGTTGAGGTCCTGGTTGGCAGCGTGACCCTTGGAAATTCCAGCCACTCATCCCATTGAGTGTCACCTGCCAGCCCTCTGAGGGTCCATTCTGCCCCATCATCCAGGCCATTCATGGAGATGCTAGGCAGGGCTGGGTCCAGCACTGGCTGCTGGAATGCACCACCAGGCACTGGCTCCCCAGTAGACTCTGTGCCACTGGCCACCACCCTTGGGGCCACAGCAGTCCATTTTCAACCACCTCCCCAGGCACATCCAGCTCAGACATCAACAGCTTCTCCATGAAGATCTTACAGGTGACCATGAAAACCTTTTTTCCTGAAACCCTTGTAGGTCACAGAGTCAAAGGGCCTTTTGCTCATGTAAGTATTTTTACAATTCCCACATGTCAAACTTCTCTCTTCTCCATGCTGCAGTTCAGAGGGCAGTTTGTTGATGGACTCTTTGAAGGGTAGCTGTGTCTGGCCCTGGCAGAAAGCACACCTTCCTGATGAAAGGCAGCCTGCCCCAAGCTCACTGAACCAACCTTCTCCTGCATTTCACTCAGCCTTGGATCAGAGCCACCGGGGATAGATTAAAGAAGACTTCCCAGCCCTGAGGAATGCCAGTGTTTAAAGCTGTGTAAACTCTCACTCATCTTTCATCACCAAACACTACCTCTTGCTAAGCCATTAAAGCCACATTCACATGCCCAAGAGATTCTGGGAGTGATTAATAACAATGGGATGACTGTTATTTAATTACAGCCAAGAGCATTAGGGAAAGTTATTATATGGTGAAGGCACCTGCAGACCAGACTTCCCAGTATAGATCCTTTACATGGCTGGAGCCATATTACAGATACAGTGGGCATAAAGACTCCAAGGAATCTCATGGCAGAATTAATTAATAAATGTTGAAGTGGGTTTGATAAAGGAAGGGATCACATGGGTGAGGTCTACATCCAAGTGGGTATAAATTAGTACTGGCTTTTCTGATATTCGTTTGTCTTCCATCCAGCTGCTTTGGGGTAATATCCCTCAAGGTAAGTTTTTCTGGATGTTCTCTATAATAAGGGAGGCAAGAAGAAAACAATGTAGAATAAGCTATTTGTAACTTTGCAGTAATAGACAAAAAATATAGGGAAGAGAGTTGGGGAAACAGACTATAAATGTTTAGAGCTGTTAGATTTATAGTTTCACTTCCTGATAAAATATTACAAGATTTTCTATTAGAAATTAATTCCATATTTGAGTTAAGAAAAGCAGATAATAATAAGCAGGTACATATATGTGTGTGTGTTCATTTTTTTGGCTGTAAAAAGTCCTATGCCTGACTTACTTTTTTGAAATTTAAAGTAATTTGTGACTGTAGTTAAAAACCAATCTGTCATCTTCCATTTAATGAATACTAGTGCAACACATTGAGAAGAATTTCTTACACACATATCTTGAAGATCTCCAAATAACATCATATTTCTCATTAGGAAAAATTATGATATATTAGATGAGTCTCAACATAGATTAGAATAAATCTTTGACTACAATTTTTTGTGATATGAAGCAAATATAATGGATTGTGGATAAACTGAATTCCAATAGATATAATATCAGAATAACTTCATTTACACAGTGTTTCACAGTATCTTCATTTAAACATAAGAATTGTTTGCACATTGTATGAGATGAAGGAAGATGTGAAAACTGTTTGCAAAACAAAAGAAACTGCAAGTGCACCATTTTATTGCTACATGGCAACTTCATAGTCTCTTGACTCAAAGCAATACCAAAATTAATATTGTTAGTCAGACTTTTAGACAACATTGGTAAAATAAGGATATATAAGGTTCATCTTTCCTGTAATATGTGCATTTGCTATGATAAGGGTAAAAACTGAATTTTATTAAGCAGAAATATATCCAGGCTACAAAAGAATGATTTCCCAAGATGGTGTCTTCCTAATCCCAGATTGAAGAGATAACATTCTGTCTAATATTTTACTTGACTCACCAGGCACACCAGTCTGCTGTGTGACTTTTTTCTTGTCTTTGGATTAAACAAAAAATGATTGTAATGCTGCTGGTGTCTATGTCCATGGTGGTGTATAGTGGTAAGTGGCAATGTATTTTTATGATTACTTGACATTATGTCAAAATACTGGTTTAAGTATGAGCATTTGGAAACAGTCCCTTAGAAACACACCTGCCCTCTGCTCAAATTTTGGTGTTCAACACCCAAGTGCACTTGAAGACATTTCTTTATGAAGTGCTTATAAAATATTTTTCTCACAACTTGTAGTGAAGCAACAAAATAAGTACTGGGGTTAAAAATACAACCAAAAATTTGCAATTTCTAGTTGCTAGTACTTTGTCATTATTTAAGCCATTAAGACTCCAAATTTATAAGTTCCATATAAAGAGATTCTACTCATTAAATGCATTTGAATTATCTTAATTCTCCAAACTGTTCAGTACATCCTGAAATAGATCCCATGTCCACCTAAAGCTCCTCTTTTGAATTTTAGTATGAATAGCTTTTCCTTCATATAACTCTTTGGATTTTATTGTCATGACTGAATGAACTTCCCTGAGTCAGGGATGGACAAACATCTCAAATTTCTGCAGTCTCTGCTTTTTGTAGAAGTGTCAGTGAGAGTTATGATGTGCAAGTGAAGAAAAGGACTCTTAGAAGGTCTGTCACCATTTCTGGCCAATCCATGGGGATATTATTTCTAAAGGGAAGAGGAAACTCAGGACCCCAGCATAGAAAATTCTGCACTGACCTTCATCAGCTTCACCAGTTGCTTCTCCTCTGAGGGGTTGCTTGCGTTGCAGTTCAGAAATTAAACAGGTCTAACACAAAACATGCAGGCTAAAACTATGAAGCTGAACCTTAAGACTCCTACTATATAGAGAGAAATCAGAGACAATATTCACATTTCCCACTGCAGTGATAGCAAATGCCCAAATATCTGCACTATCTATTTATTTTAAAAATATACATTTTTATATTGATGTTGCATTCAAAAATATCTGTACAGTCATACATTTTTCTGACAAAACATTTGAAAAAAGTTCCCCAACCCTTAAAATACTGTGCAGCAGTGTTTAGATTCTTTCCCTTTAGCTAAATACAATGAGAACATGAATATTTAAAGTGTTACCACGTTTAGGTTTGGGAAGGATTATTGATTTATATTTCTTTGGGATTTATTCTGCTGATCTCTGCTTTGAGACTGAAGCAAATATCTGTGCATGAAAGAGCATCTTTGAGAGGAATTAATGTGATTTTCCTTGAATAAATCAAATAGTTTGGGTTTGCTGCACCCTGATTTTTTCTAGCATAGTCAAGGTTTTTGCTTCCCAAGGATTTTAATGCATCCATGCCCTGATTTAGGACATTTCAGTGAGCCATGGCTGAAAAAGACAACTGGAGGTGCAGTGATGATTTTTTGATGGGATTTTTTTGTACAACATTTCAGAAAACTGTTGTCAGGTAGGAAAATCACAGATGCAGTCCAGAAACAATTTTTTTGTGTAACAGAATATTAAAAGAAATTTCATGGATAAGGTGTACAATGGGAAAGCCCAAGAGCTGATGTATCATACAGGAGTCTCCTCAAAATGTACTGAATTTTTAAACAGGTTTTGGAGAGAGGTGAGACAAGTTGGCATCCCCAGGGTCTTCTGAGATTTGAAGGATTGATTTTTGTAGTGAAATCTTTCACTGCCTCTACTGGGAATTACATAGGACAGTGTTTCCAAATACATGTACCAAAAGAAGAAAAGAGAATAATTACTCCAGAAAGTATTTTCTCCTTGTTCCTCCCACCCCCAATTCAAACAAAAGTAAGCAATCTTGTAAGCAAACATTGGTTCATTGATCTTGACTTGGTGACAAATAAAAAAAGCTTTTCTCTGTAATTATAGGATTTGAACAGCCAATGAT